CCAGATTAATGTCAGGGTATAAACACCTAGGTTACAATATTTGCATGTTAGGTAGAGTCCCACTTGTAGTTGTGTCCCACAGCCAAGAGGTGTGTCCTATACCCTTACATTGTGCCCATTAAGTGGGAGAACAACAATCCCACTTCCTCCCCCCCTGGAGGGGAATGAAAAGCCATGGAGATTTGCTTTTCCATTCTTGTGATACTTTACTCAGAAGAATGTTTCAATGCTATCTGGGTTAATACAAAAGATGTAAAATCCCCATCTTTTTTTATGGCTGAAAAGTATTCCATGGTATACACATACCACAGTTTGTTAATCCATTCCTGGGTTGATGGGCATTTAGTTTGTCTCCCCATCTTGAAAAATATAAATTGAGCTGTGATAAACAATCTAGTGCAAATGTCCTCATGATAAAATGTTTTTTTTTTTTTTTATTCTGAGTAGATGCCTAGTAGTGGGATTGCAGGATCAAATGGAAGGTCTAATTTGAGTTATTTGAGGATTCTCCATATGTCTTTCCAAACAGGCTGTATTAGTTTGCAGTCCCACCAATAGTATAAAAGTGTTCCTCTCTCTGCACATCCATGCCAGCATCTGCAGCTTTGGTAACGAAGCTGAGTTCTAACCTTGAGTCTGCACTAACTAGTTGCACGTCCGTGATGAAGCTTGTAAGTCTCTCTGGTTCACTTCAAGAATCTAAAAATTGAACTATCTTAGTGGCATATAATTAAGGAAAGGACCAAGAGAAGAGATTTTCCAGGCCCATGGAGAACGGTAGTCTTCCCCCAAACAGGGAAGCCTTATTAAAGCAATCCAGGAGCACTCAGCATTACCGCTGAAATTCATGAACACTAACAGGATTTTGAGAAAGAGCACTAGGCAGGATGAGGAAAGGCAAACTCCAGTCTTCTCTCTGCTATTATCCAGCAGGCACCAGAACTGGGCAAGTCCCGCCTGGGCGAATCTGCCAAAAGAAGACTCAGGCCAGATGTGGTCTCATCTAATCCAGCCTCCTCACAGATGCCCTCTGAGAGTCTGCACCACCAGGCACAGGCCTAGAATGCCTCCCCTACTAAAATCCTACTCCTTTCTAAAGTTCCTGTTCAGATGTCACCTGCTTTGTCCAGCCAAGCTGGTCACTCACTTTGCATTCTACAGACAACTTCTGTTAGAGGCCTCCCTCACCACTTTGAAGGGTAATTACCTGGTTATGCACCTTATCTCCCTCACTAGACTTGGAGCTTCTCCTGGGCGTTGTTCTAGCCTCATTGGAATGTGTAAACTTTGTCCCAATACAGTGCCTACCTAGCACATGGAGGCAGTTAAAGAACACATAAGAATAAATGCACTAATTAATCCTTAATGTCACTCCTCCCAGCTCTAAAATACTAGGCTTGATGTCTTTAAGTGTAAAGGGAATATGGATGTAAAAATTCTTTTATTTTGCCGTTTAATGCTGTGCATACTGGGTATCAGTCACTGGTTCTGGTGCTGGTGACATCAAGATGATAAGACACGGTCCCTGCCCCCGGCACCCCAGAAAAATGAAAGCCTGCAGATACCGTTTAGGGAGCCTGCTTCTACCCCACCCACCCCCACTTCCTTTCTTGCAGCTGCAGCTCTCTGCCTCTTTCCCCAAGCTATGACCTCTGTCCCAGCTGGCAAAAGCACAAAATTCAGAGGCAACCATCCGCGCCCGCTTGTGGAGGACAATTCCTGCAGGCCCACTGCCCACGCCCCAGACTTCTCTCCCCCTCCCCGGAATGTGGCAGTGTGAGTCCACCAGAGGCGGCCCCCAGATGCCCGCGTTCAGTGGTACAGCCCTCCGGGGGCCGCAGCGCGGGGAAGTCAGGGCCGGGCCGTTACTCGCAGTCGCGCCACTTTGTACCGGGACCCTGGGACCAGTTCGGAGAGCAACAGGGTGTACCTGCGCGGTCCGATGCTCCTTCCAGAGCTTCATCTGGTCACTGGCTGGATCCCGGCGGTCGTCCATGGTGTCAGATTGGCGTGGCAGAACGTCGAAGGCGGCCTCAGCCGGCGTGTCACCACCTTCAGCAGACGAAAGCTCCTGGGGCCGAGCGGCTGAAGCGGGCAGAGGACTCCGCCGATAAGCACCGCCCCTCGACCCGCCCCCTAGGGAGTGCCGTCTCCGGATTGGCTGCCCAGTGATAGACGGGACGGGATTGGAAGCCCAACCGGGCGAGGAGCGGCGCTCGCCAATGGAGGCGGGACCCGAAGTGTAGGAGAGACTAGGTAGGGGTGTGGAAAGGACGCGAGCTGCAGCGGGGTGACAGGTGGAGAGCCCCACCCCTCAGAGCCCCAAATCCCCGGTTACCGAGCCCAGGGCGGGGCCTCTGGTTATCAGCATCCCTCAGACTGCCCTGGCACCCAGCGATTGGTGTCTAGAGTTGACCCTGCTGTACTGTTTTCTCTGCTTTTAAAAAGTCAGAAATCCGGCTCGGCGCCTATAGCTCAACCGGCTAAGGCGCCAGCCACATACACCTAAGGTGGCGGGTTCGAATCCCCAGCCCAGACCCGCCAAACAACAATGACGGCTGCAGCCAGAAAATAGCCGGGCGTTGTGGTGGGCGCCTGTGGTCCCAGCTACTTGGGAGGCGGAGGCAAGAGACTCGCTTGAGCCCAGGAGTTGGAGGTTGCTGTGAGCTGTAATGCCACGGCACTCTACCCAGGGGGACAGCTTGAGGCTCTGTCTCAAAAAAAAAAAAAAAAGTCAGAAATCCTGAGTTGAACTCCGTGCAAAATTAACTTTTGTCATAATCTAATATAGGTATTATTTGCAACTGAAGGATGGATATTTTTCTTCTCTCTTAACTCTTCTTAACTTATTCATGGGTTATCACTTACTAGACTAGTATCCTAATTATTTAACATAAAAACACTCTGAAACTCTGTCTCAGTACAGATAGGTATTGATTTTTCCCCAGAGAAAAACGACGTAACTTAGAGGGATAGGCTTTTGATTGGAAAAATGTATTCGTCTCTGGTCCACTGTGTCAAATTGGCTTCTTCAAAAACTACAATAATACGCTTCCCTAAATTTTATCACCAGACAAGAGTAAAGCTTTGTCTTTAAAAGCTATCCTAAAAAGTATTTAGTAATATTGGTAATATGTAGCAAAATATTTCATAAGTTACTGACGAGTTTGTAATTATAATTAAACAGATTGAATAATTTCTCCTCTTCAATATTTGAAGTATGAAGCTTGATTTTTTCCAGTAGAAGTACATATAATGAGTGGATGTATGATAATGGAAAATTTCAGAAGTTCTCAATTTGATAAAAGTGTGATAAGAATCTTGGGCATAAAGGTTTAACTTTTGCAGAAGTAGCCCACAAGTTGATCTTTAGCACCCTATATTACACTTTACACAATTTTATAGATGCTGTTAACTGTGTAGTTGGTATGATGTCTTTTAATACTCACCCCATCTATACTGCCTCTAGTCTATAAACCCCATGAGAGTAGGCACCTCACTGCTAGAATTTATCAAGCACTTACTATATGTCAAGGACTATTCTAAGTTGTTGATGTTTGCTTAGTTAACCTTCCCAGCAACCCTATGAATTAGATACTAAAATATCTCAGATTACAGATTAGGCAAACTGAAGGATAAGGAAGTTAAATAAACAATTTGCCTAAAGTTATGCAAATATTAAGGAACAGAGTCAGTACTCTAGCCCCATATGTTCATTTCCAGGGCCCATGGTTTGTTGAATAAATGAATGTTGATAGAAGCAAAACATCCTTTTCTTCATTAACTAAGATAAATATTAACAAAATAAATTTTAAAAAGACGTGCAGTCTTTGACCTTTGTTCTTTATATAAACATTGTCCTGTGGGGGGAGGGTCTTCTTTTTTTTCTCTTTCTGTTACTGTTGGTTTGAATTCCTAAGGACTTATTTCCAGAGAAAGAAATAGAGAAAGAAGACTGGTTTCTGATCTTGTCATGTCTTGTATTTTAAAATAAGGTGCAGACTTATGGGTAATGACAATAATGTATATTGCTACATAGGTTGAAATTTTATTTGTTGGCTTTATGACTATAATTTATAGTTTAAAACACTTCTAAAATTCAAGCTTCATTTTAAAATACTTAAAACCAAATCTGTTGGACTGCTGACTGTAATTCCAAGTGATTGGATCAGTAAACAAATTCTGTCCCAGGGTTTAATATTTTAGGCATGTAAACTCATGAATATTTTTGTTGGTATTGAATAAAGTTGTTATTTAGAAAATGCTGAATCCTGATACCACCAAATCTAAAACCAAGATTACAAAGTAGAACCTATAATAAATCTTTAGAAGAAAAGGTTGGGCACTAGGGATCTTTTTTTTCTTTTTTTTGAGGTAGAGTCTCACTTGGTTGCCCTCGGTAGAGTGCCATGGCGTCATAGCTCTCAGCAACCTCAAACTCTTGGTCTCAAGCAATTCTCTTGCCTCAGCGTCCCAAGTAGCTGGGACTACAGGCACCTGCCACAACGCCCTGCTAATTTTAGAGATGGGGTCTCACTCTGGCTCAGGCTGGTCTCAAACCTGTGAGGTCAAGCAATCCACCAGCCTTGGCCTCCCAGAGTGTTAGGATTACAGGTGTGAGCCACTAGCAGCACTAGGGATCTTCACAGACAAATTTCCTGTCATTTGCATTGCAAGAAAATAATGGAGAGGATAACATGTAGGTCATGTTGAATGGCAGGTGTATAAAGCAACATGAGGAGTAACAAAAAAAACAAAATCCACGATGTTCTGAGTCCACTCTCTGAGAAGCCAAGTATGCTCTACACATTTCAATTTAGTTCTCCTCACAGTGAACTTGTGAGGTAAATTCAGAGGTAGACAGAAGGGAGAAAAAAAGGAAAACAAGAAAAAAGTGGAATTGTAATTCAGAATCAGCCATTGGCTTTGAGGGAAGGAAGTGAACACCACCTGTGATTCCAGCCTATCATGGAGCAGGTCTGAACAGGAAAGAGAAGGTGGAATTTGCATTAAAAACTGAGGTGGTAGCTTGACACCCACAGCATAGTGGTTACTGCGCCAGCCACAGCCACTGAGACTGGTGGGTTCAAACCCGGCCTGGGCCAGCTAAACAACAATGACAACTGCAACAAAAAAAATACCTGGGCATTGTGGCAGGTGCCTGTAGTCCCAGCTACATAGGAAGCTGAGGCAAGAGAATTGCTTAAGCCCAAGAGTTTGAGGTTGCTGTGAGCTGTGATGCTACAGCACTCTATCAAGATTAACATAGTCAGATCTTGTCTCAAAAAAAAAAAAAAAAAACATGGTGGTTTTATAGGTGGTAGTGGTGTGTGCCCTCTGCTCTGCCTGTTTTGCTTGCCCATGTCCTTCCGATTTAATAGAAATGATGACTGATCTAAGAGGAGGCAGCCCAGACGTGTCCTGGTGTCTGGTTATGGCCATAGAACAAACCATCCTGAAAAGATAAAAACCCACGTGTCTTTTCTCCCCCAGCCTCACGTGCCATGCTACTCACCTGCATGTTTGAGAAAACGGAAACACATAAACAAAGATTAGGAATTTGTTTTTACCTTTACTTCTTTTTTCTGATTTTAAAAGTAATGTATACTTACTAATGGAGGTTTAGAAAATGCAGAAGATATCAAATAAACAATCATTAAGAGATGATAATAAGGCTCAGCACCTGTGGCTCAAGTGGCTAAGGTGCCAGCCACATACACCTAAGGTGGCAGGTTCGAATCCAGCCCTAGGCCGCCAAACAACACTGACGGCTGCAACCAAAAAAATAGCTGGGCGTTGTGGCGGGCGCCTGTGGTCCCAGCTACTTGGGAGGCTGAAGCAGGAGACTCACTTGAGCCCAGGAGTTGCTGTGAGCTGTGATGCCACAGCTCTCTACCCAGGGGGACAGCTTGAGGCTCTGTCTCAAAAAAAAAAAAAAAGAGAGAGATGATGATAAATAATTACCTTTCTTACCAATATTTTTTCTCTTATATGTACATAAAGGAACGTGTGTATGTAAGAAAGATTTACAATAGGCCATATAGAACATATAATCTTGTGTCATGCTTTCTTCACTTAAAATTATAGGGTAAAATTTTTCCTAAGTCCTTAAATATTCTTCAAAAATATTTTTTTCACAGCCACACCATTTGCAAAGGACTGTTCCTTTATTTCCACATTCCTTTAGTGGTTTACATTTGAAATTTTTACTGCTACAGCAATATAGTGACAGCCTTCCTCTATATTTGGGTTTATCTCTGTAGGATCCCTTTTCCATTGAAGGCTCCATGTCAATAGTTTTCCGCATCATTTGAGACAATTTACACCTCCCTCCTCATCCTTCTTTTAAAGAAAGGCAAGTAGCTGGATTCTAGATGTTTATAAACTAGCCACTGTGTTAGAATCTTCAGAATGGAGACCAGAAGGGAGAACGTGTTGTGTTCAGGCATCACCACTATCCCATAGGATTCTCCAATCTCTTGAATGTCTGCAAGGTCCTAGGTCCTCTGCCCACTAGGTCCTGAAAGTACAGCAGTGATGGAGGGAGATGTAGGGATATATGAGGACACAAAGGTACAGAGAGGTGAAGCAACCTCCCAAAGTCACAATACCTCATTAGTGAAGGGACCAGATGCAACACAAGCAGTGTGCCGCTGGCACTCACATCTTCACTCCTACATTGTTCTGCCTGCAACAAACTCCACAGGAATACACGAGGATCTGGGGTAAGTATTCTACATTCTTAGACTATAACCAAAGCATCACACCACCTCCTGCCCACCTGAAGATGTGGCGTTACAGCATACACACCAATGTAAACAATTGCGAAATCCATGTTTTGCACCCAGATAATGGAGACGACGGAAAAATGATATTCTACACTGTCTTTGAAAGGAAAAATGGGAAGTGGTTATGGACTTGCAATATAAGAGCATTACAAGCTAGAGAGCCACAGGATGGAGGCACAGCCAAAAGGAGGAAAAAGAGGCCTGGGAAGAGGCAGCTTGCAGAGCAGCAAGAATGGAGGGGGAGGAGGAAGATCCAGAGCCACCTGTTTCTCCTGACAGCAAAGGGCAGGCAGAGA